CAGCTTGTGTTTCGGTGGAGTGTGAGAATGCTGTGACCACCGGGCAACGAACACCAAAATTGTGGCTCAAAACCGTCAGATGCGACCAGTGAGATGTTGTTGACGATGACCATGGAAGACCTAGGTGTAGTTCAGGAACGGGACGTGGGACGTTCTGTAAGCGGATGTTGAGCAGCGAAGACGGTATAACCAGTATACATAGCAGGAGTGAAAACAGTAGTATAATCCATCCTATTTTCGTCAATAGGCATGACACTATCCGGTTGCCCAGGTCGAAGTAAAGGGTTGTCTTGGGGGGCTCCAACCCGAGCCTTTGATCCAGGATCTAGGCTACAAAGCAGCAGGGCGATATGAGAGTATTGCAACCCATTGTGATCCGGGTTTGCTTGCCGAACAACCTGCTCGTGGTGCCAGCTGGGCGGTTCGGGTTTTTCCCGTTCTAGCAAATGGTTCGGCGGTAGTGTTCCAGGACATGGTGGGTTTTCGCCTGGCAAGCGTTCTCCCTATAAAAAGCCACAAATGTCTGTTTAACAACACTGCGACTTGTCGGATGTGACTCGCCACTAAATAAAGTCACTGCCTCTTTCCCCTCCCTGAGAGGCCTTGTACTTCAAGGGTGTGTTGGGCCCCTGGTCCTTCACGGACCGAGAGGCGTATGAACCATCTATTTGGTCACCGGCTCCCAACAGGTTGCGACGCCTTCATCGCCCTGCTGCCTTGTAGGTTAGATGTTTGGTCAAAGGTTTGGGGTAGGGCACCCTAAGAAAACCCCCAACTTCGGCCTGGGCAACCGGGTAGTATCACGCCCACTGACGAACCATGGACCACACTGCTTACTACTGCTTCTGCTATGCCTAACTTCTATGCTAACTCAACCGCTCAACCTCTACTCACAGATCACCCCACCTACCCTCCTTCAAATATGTGTTCTCTTATGTCTTCTACGGTCTCCGCCACAAACGACCCGCGTCTCGCAACTGATAGAAGCAACAGCCAAACTCTCGGTTTTCAATCTCCTGCGACCGCAACCGCCTCTCACCCCACCGAAGCTCCAGCTCTTCTTCGACCTGGTTCTCCATTCATCCTCGCAGCGTTTAATGCTCGAACTTTGATGCAGATTGGACGACAAGCATGTCTGGCCCGTACTCTTGAAACGCTTTCGGTAGATATCTGTTGCCTTTCAGAGACCAGATTACAAGACTCTAGCGCTGTCATCAGAATGGCTTCACCGGTAAACCCTGACGCCAAATACCACATGCGGCTTTCCAGAGACCCAGAAGCTGCCGCCACTGGCCAAGCTGGTGTTGAAGTTGAACTGAGTGCCAGGGCTGAATCAGCTCTGCTTGACTGGATCCCAGTCAACAGTCGGCTATGCGCAGTCAGACTACGAGGTTCATGTAACGTAAGCAGGCGTCGAGACGTGAAGCGTGCCTTGTTTATCTTCTCCGCCTACGCCCATACAGACTGCAGCCCGGATGCAGTTAAAGATAGCTTTTGCCAGCACCTACATGAACTTCTGCGTTCCTCCAAACGGACTGATATAGTCATTCTTGCCGGGGACTTTAACGCACGGGTTGGCCGCCTTCCACCAATCGAACACCACCTTGGGGGTAGTTTTGGTCTCGGTGGCAGTCGATCAGACAATGGAGACAGACTGCTTGCTCTTTGCTCTGATCATCGCTTGTATCTTTCGAGCACTAGTTTTCGGCACTCGAGGAGACACACTGCTACCTGGCGCCCGCCCTCACAAAAGCAAGAGTGCTCCCAGCTTGACCACATAGGAATCAGCTACAGATTGCGCGGAAGCGTAACGGACTGCCGGTCGTACTGGTCAACTTTCCTAGACTCCGATCACGCATTGGTTCGTGCTAAGATTTGCATGCGTTTTGGAGGATCACCTAAGCGCGTTCTCTACTGAGCGGACGTCGCAAATCTACAAAACTCTGCGATTTTAACCAGATACCAAGCCTCACTGCCAACCTTACTTGCCTCAACTATTGACGATTATCTCGGTTCGCAGTGGGCGCATATCAAAGTTGCGTTAGTTTCTGCCAGTATCGACACTTATGGAGCTACCCGTCACCCACCGAAGCATTGGATTGCCGCCGTCTCCTTGTCGCTGATGGACAAACGGCGCTTGATCCCGTCGGATTCCAGACGCAGTGACGAAGCCAATCCCTGGGTCGAGAGTTGCGCAGGAGTCTGCAAATGGACCTCGAAGCTTGGTGGGGTGAACATGCTAGAGAGATGGAGCTTGCTAGTCTCTCTGATAATACCAGAAAACTTTTCCATCTCATCCGAGTCACCGAAGGTGTTCGATCTGGTATACGTGAAAAAATATGTGAAGAGGATGACACTTTAATCACCAATCTTCAACGACGGTTGGAGCGATGGGCCGAACATTTTGGCTGGCAGTTTTGTTGGCCCCCAGCTCCATCTGTTACCTCTGGCGCTCGCGCTGGGGCCGAGTGGTCTACTCCCACAGATCCTCCCTCTTACCAGGTACTCGAGCAGGAGCTCCGGCACATGAAGCGCTATAAAGCTCCCGACCCTGATGGTCTTCCTCCAGCTCTATTTAAAGATAGTGGCGCTTTGCTGGTTCGAGAACTCACCGCTTTGTTCTCGAAAATTTGGTCGAAGGAGAAAGTTCCATCATGTTGGAGTGAATCGATAGTCGTCCCCATCTTCAAAAAGGGCTTGAGCACAATCTGCTTCAACTACAGAGATATAAGCTTAGTCCCCGTCGTTTGCAAGCTGCTGGTGTCCATCATACTTCGCAGGCTATCCCCCACACACGAATCGTTGCAACGAGAAGAACAAGCTGGGTTTCGTCCTGGTCGCGACTGCATCGATCAAATCTTCACACGTCGCCAGATCCTCGAGCTCCGCCATGTGTATCAGAGGCTCACGATTGCAGTGTTCTCGGATATCCATGCAGCCTTCGATTCCATCGATCGTACGGTACTGTGGCACTGCCTACTGAGGAATTGTGTCCCCGAGAAGTTCGTCTCCATATTGCGCGCCCTCTATAGTCTGACCTCGGGCAGGGTTAGGGTTTATGGCAAGCTTTCGCCTATATTTGTGGTCTCCAGTGGAGTTCGACAAGGATGCCCTATCTCTCCGTTCCTATTCAACTTCGCCATTGAGGATGTCCTGAAGAACGCTCTGGGCGATTCGTTGAACGCTGGCGTTGAGCTCCTCCCAGGTAGTCGAGTTGTTGATTTGGATTATGCTGATGATATCGTCTTGCTGGGTGACGATCCACGTGTCGTCCAACTTGCACTAAACCGCTTGACGATTGAAGCATCAAAGTGTGGTATGTACTTTTTGCCATCCAAATGCAAGGCTCTCTTCCAAGACTGGCAGGTGCCTCTGCCTGCACTCACTCTTGGTGGTGAAACACTAGAGGTTGTGGAGAGCTTTGTCTACTTGGGAAGTTGCATCGCTGCTGATGGGGCTGCTGGAGACGAGATTTCGATGCGCATCTCGAGAGCACGCCTCGCTTTTTCTAAGCTGGGGCATTTGTGGCGTCGTCACGACATTCGTCTCTCCAGCAAAGAGCGGGTCTATTGTGCAACTGTTCGTGCTGTACTGTTGTACGGATGCGAGGCCTGGCCCATTCGTAAGGATGACTTGCGCAGGCTATCCGTCTTCGAGCACCGCTGTCTGCAGTCCATTGCTCGTGTGTGGTGGCGGCACCATGTAAGCAATGTGGAAGTTAGACAGCGCGTCTTGGGACGTGGAAGCCACTCGCTCGACGAGCTCGTCTCACTGCATCAACTGCGGTGGTTGGGACACGTATTGCGCATGCCTGTCCAGCGTTACCCCCGTCGTGCGTTGTTTGCGGTTGCTGGACAGGGTTGGAGAAGACGGTCTGGTGGACAGCCTGCAACATGGAGAAGCCGCATGAAAAAGCTGACGAAACAGTTGGCCTCGGCCGGTTGTTGTCGACTACCTGGTTGGGGTCCGAGAGATGCGGATACTTGCTGGCTGAAGACCTTGGAAGCCATGGCTCAAGATCGATGTCAATGGCGGACGTGAAAAGACTTCAAAAACTGTGAGTAGTAAACTAGACAAAAAAACTTTTGTTGTTGTTGCCCTTTCTTATTATTCATACTGTCTTCCTATTCAGCCATGATTCCGATGACACAATATCTGTACCACAGATTGTGTATTATATATATATATATATATATCCGGTGACCAAACTAGTGGTTCAGACTCCTTTAGGACCGCAAAGCACCATTGACCCAACACATCCTTGAATTACAATGCCACTCAGAGAGAGGCAAGTGGCAGTCACTTTATTTTGACGCGAGTCACATCCGCTACGGCACAGTGTTGTTAAACGGATATATGTGGCTTTTTATAGGGGGAACACTTGCCAGGCGAAAATCCACCACGTCGTGGAACACGGCCGCCGAAACATTCGCTGGTGCCGGAGAATCCCGAATCACTAACTTGCACTACGAGGTTGTTCGGCAAGGCATCCTGAGCTGGGGTGGAACTTCAGGCCTAGTGATTAACGGCAGATACCTTGTTTACTGTGCCACTGGGATCCATATTTCCTTAATACCATTCAACCTGGTCTACTCGGCTCCACGTCCATAGGATAGCAGTGATTAGGGTTTTGTATCCGACCTATACTCAGTTCTGTAGCCTAGAGGGGCTTGTGGACCAACGGTTACGCAAGAACCATTATGTAGCAAATGGGCGCCTGATGTGTGTATAACATCGAATTCTTGGACGTCGTTTTATTGTATTGGAGCATTATACATACTATTGCTAAGACTTGGTCATCATCCGGGTCGAGCTCTTACATTCCTCTGGTTATTTGCTTCATAGTGGTCGCAACTTTTGCTCTAGACTTTTTGACCTATCTTCTGACCTCTAGGCATTTTCATCTCTTGAGACAAATGCTTTTCACTACAATCTTGGCTCTGCCTCGTGTTTTTCTGCAGTTCTCAATTCTCGAACTACTCCTTGCCCCCTTTTTCCAGTCAAGCGATCTCGGAAGTTGGATATTGCTTGTTTTGTTACCGCTGATGAAATTTCGCCATCTTGGTCGATTCCAATGGATCTGTTGAAATCCAAACTGAGCAAACAGAATTCCAACAACTCCCAAGTTGAAAAGCCTGCTTACCTTGCTGGCCAAGACTCCCAAACGGAAAACACCGAGTGGGTTTACATTTCCTTTGACTCATTTGCTTCCAGCATAAGCAAACTTCCTGACGATCGTAGCCCACCTGCAAGCATAGCATCCGTGTCAGAACCCCTTCCCAGCTGTTTTCTGGCAGACAACAGCGCTAACTTGGTGGCGTACGAAGACAGTGATTGAACACATCTATCCTTCTTCTGTATCAAAAAAACAGCTCGCAACACAATGGACCAGGATATTCGCTATCCAAGATGGCAATCAACGAATCTTCAGACATTCTGTACATAAATATTTCACCAACCCATTACTTTCTTTTGCTGTGATCTTTAAGTTTCGTCATCTGATTTGTACCGGTTTTGATGTGCACTCTCTTGTTCTAACTTTCGTATATGCGTGCAACTATTGCCTTGTTTCTGCTTGTTTGCAATCGGTCAGGCAGCGTTTTCATAACGCCTACCAAAACTCCGAATAAACTGGTTTACCTTCTCATATTTCAGTTGATTGGACTGTTGAAAACCTTTAGGTTGACAGTCAGTCATCGAGCTCTTTGTCTCATCGCAGTTGCAAGAACGGATTAGTCAAAATGATGGGTAAGTAAGCACTGCATTCGTTGAATGCATCTTCTGCGCCTAGTTGGACTGTTTTGGATCACAATATTCACAAACCGTACCCATCCTTGGTCTCGGTCCATTGCGCTCACAGACTGCGGTAGTCAGATATGACCGAGGTTTAATGCGTGTCTTGAAAAAATGCTACTGATCCAGTTCCCATCACTGTGGTTTCAGCCAGTTCTTCCTTAATCCGGTTACGTCTCCTATTCTCTTGTGCCCTCTCACCTCATTTTTGTCCTTGAACAACGTGTGGGTGGATTGCATGTCCCCTCCGATCTTCGGTGGGAACATGCAGTGTTTTGTTACACTGATCGGCATATTGTTACTGTTCCTTTTGAATCGTTTCGCGACTACCAGGTGCGAACTACTTGTTTAGCGTGAATTGCAAATTTAAATTCGAACTACTATATGGTAGTTACTTATTTCAGCGAACATATGGATTTGACCTACGCGCTTATGTTGATTTCTCACTGGTTCCATGTTGTTTTATTATCGGTTGTTAATCTGCTGCTACCTTTGCCGCGGTTTTCAAACCTGAAGTCTGCCTCGCTTGATCTAGGTATCGATTGTTGCGTTTGAGCGGTTTATCATGTTGCCGGCTGTCGTTCTCTCTGGTGCGAACAAGAGTTTCATTGGTGTGTCACTTCACCTGATCGTTCTTCGTATCTGAAATTGCCGGCTGATGATTGCAAATAAAATATTCAGCCGTTGTTTTCTGTAATTAATCCGTCTTACTGACAATCGTTCACGTCGCCGACATCGTTGCAAACTCTGTCTCTCGTGACTACCTTGGTGTTAGGTTTTGCTATCGTTTTTGGATTTCTCTCCTGTTCATTGACTACCTGTGGACGGCTACCAAGTGTATGACTGGCTGTGAATGTTGGGAATTATTCCTACTGGATCTGTGAACAACGTTGTTTTCTTACGTGGCCAGATTAATTTCATTTTCTTGCATTATGCCTGTGTTTACTCATCGTATTGGCCCTTGTGACGAACTGACGACTCGTCAGAACACCTTGCCCGCCTTTCACCATGCCCATCTCTGTCAACTGTAGACGTTCGGTTGTTGTCAGCTGCTGGTGCCTTCAATTTTGCCCATCCAGTAGCCGGATGGTTCAGGCTTCTGGCCGTGACGCACAAATCGCCGGTTGAAACCGGTGTGAGTACGGACGACCTCGCAATGTCCCTAGCTCACAGGCGACTACTGTTGACCGCATGACGGATGGCGGTGGTACGATTTGGCGGCATACCTTTTTGTGTAGTAGTTGGTTATCCCCTAGTGATGTGATGTGATCGCAGTGAGTAAAAAAGACATCAGTAGTACACTTGCCTGCCCGTAGCCTAAAGCTAACAAGCTTGTCTTGTAATCTGACTGCGCAGCTTCGAGCCTGCGCAGGGCAAGGCGACTTTCGCAGTATCCTTAACCCACGTGCGAACGTGGGTGTTTACGCGGTAGCGAAGCGTCGGTACTGCGTACCGGTGTAGTGCTGTTGCATTGCGTTTCTCTTCTATCAGCAGCACGCCGGTGCACAGTGAATCACTTGTTCGCTTATCGTTACTTTTGATCCCGACTGGCGACATGCTTCAGGTGGGAGCTGAAGTCTTTGTTTTATTCTTGTGACTTCGATATAGGTAGTTTTCGCCGACGCATCAGCGCGATAGAAAGATGTAACCCAACGTCGTGCAGGGTACTGACCCGTACGCATTTCTTCTTAAATACTATCGAGGTTGCGGACAATGCTGAGGCATATTCGCTTGAATTCCGCATGATTTTATAGCAGCTTTGAAAGGCCACTTTTCTTGCGAGTCCCATCATCTTTCTCTTTTCGTTTGTTTTTGCTGGCAATTACCAGCAAGAGTGTGCAGAACAGCTCTCTCTACGGACTTTTGGGTTCTGTTCTTGCATTATTTTCTCACTGGGCGGAACCAAACTGATTTGATGATATGTGATCTCTTTTCGTTGTTGTCTGTCGGTTCTCTTTCCTGCAATACCTATATTACTTTTCGTCCAGTGAATTCGGCTGAGACTTAACCAGCTAGCTACGACTGCTAAATTACTTCACTTCTAGACTCGTTGTGCCTTAGGGCTTCAGCACTTTTTATCGCGCATTGATGATAACAATCGTCGGGAGTGTTCGTTTCCCAGAAGTCATTTATTTCGGTACACATAAATACAATCTGTCTCTAGTTTGATTCAAGGAACTTCCAGCTACTACAATAAGCGCGAAGTTTGACACTCGTCAGCTTTCATTCATACAGATGTGTCCGGTCGATTTTGACGGTTCACTAGAATCGGTGGGGTCATTTTTTGCCTGCTTAGTTTAACCAATGTAGGTCTGGGACAATTTCGTATACTGACATTCATATTGCGCTTCACCCATAAGAGACGCAGGTGTCTTCCGTGAATTCTCTCGCAGATATACACTAAGAATTCCGGCAATTAGCCCATTTGTGGCTCAGTCCGTCCTAGATGAGCCAGTTGACTATCAAATGGACATTGTTTATTCCTTTTTGCGAAAGCAAACTGCCCTAGCTAAGTCCCTGTTTTTTACTTAGCCGATGCAAAAGGAATCAACTGGTTGACTTGATGGCATCAAATTAATGCGCATCCAGGTTACGGGTCCATTTCCAGCTGACAATGGCTCTCCCGTTGTCGTCGAAACTGCGTCCGGCGCGACATCGTTCTCTCTTCGAAAATCAGAGTTTACAATACAACTGCCTGTTCAACCCACCTGTACTGTCACTAAGCCTGGCCCATTAAGTCGACAAATATATGGAGGCTTGTTACGTTCGATCGTGGCTGTCTTCTCAGCTTAGCTCATGTCTGGTGGGAGCACCGTGTGAGCAATGAGTTTATTCGGCGTCGCGTATTTGGTGCAGGAAGAGCGAGTGAACCGCTCAGCACCATTATATCACGCAGCAGGCCCCGACGGCTGGGTCACGTGTTGCGCATGCCAGCACACTGACTCCCGCGTCGTGCATTGTTTGCGCGACCGGTGTGTGGATGGACGAAGAGGAGGCAGCCAGAGCGAAACTTGGTCGAGAGGAAGGAATGAAGGCCATCATTGCAAACTTGGTGTCGGTTGGTCTGCCGACTGCCTGGCTAGGGCCCGAAGGACTACCAACACGTTTGGTTGGATACACTAGTTGACATGGCAAACGGCCGGCCTCAAAAGCGTTCGTTTTGTGAGTCTGTGTCCCTCCTCTACGTTTCACATTCCCCCTAATTCAACTATGCATACGTTAAGTCTTGTTACTTTTAGCATTTGTAGTCTACAATGTCTATCACTTTTCTCTTCTGTATTGCGGCACACTAGCTGAGGTGTGTTTCTCACCATCGGCTAACGTGTATTGATGATGATTTTAATACAAAGCTTATGATGAATCCTCTCGTGTATGTACATCTGACCTCGATTGGACAAGTGCCAGTGGTCTAATTGTGACAAAATATTGTGACGCTCGAAATGATGTAGAGCTTGAATGTTGAAGCGTGGATTGCATGCAGCCCTGTTAGAGAACGCTGGATGTTGAACTTCAGACCGGTTGGTAGCAAAATGTCCTGCAGGTAGGGACTAGAGTGAGTAGCTACTAAGTTGGAAGATGTAAGAAACCAGTTCACTTGACCAAATTCAGTTAGTTCCGAGTTTGTCAACAACTAGTGCATGCCGCATGGATATGACAATTTCAGCAGTCCATTTACGAGCGGCATTAAACTACTAGTGTGGCACAACGTAAAACAGGGTGACAGGTCAGTGATCAACAGCGCCAAATGCATCGGACATCATTGCACATTAGCTAAAGATGAAGACGACCCACCCACTGTTGTGCCGCAATACAACAATATATAAAAATAGTGATACCAAACAGTATCGAATACAAAGAAGGTAACATACTGCTCAGAAACATATAATTCAAAACAAATTCGTGGTTGGAGGGGGAAAATAAGTGGGGTAGGGAGGTACCACGAAACTCATAACCCAAACGCCATTGGGGCCGGCTCTTTGCCATAGCAGCAAGTGCATTCAACCAAACGTGTTCATCGTTCGTAAGACAACAGCCAGGCAATCGGAATGCACCAACCGACGCCAACTTCAAAGTGATGGTTTTCATCTCTCTCGACCAAGTCATCAATTGACCTCCTCTCCTCCTCTTCCAAGCGCACTCCCGGCGCGCAAACAATGCACGACGCGGGAGTCGGTGTGCTGGCATGCGCAACACGTGACCCAACCATCGGAGCCTGGCGCGTGAGATAATGGTGCTGAGCGGTTCACTCGCTCTTCCTGCACCAAATACGTGACGCCGAATCAACTCCTTGCTCACGCGGTGCTCCCACCAAACATGAGCTAATCTGAGAAGGCAGCGATGATCGAACCTGATTAGTCTCTTTATGTCTGTCGATCTGATGGGTCAGGTTTCACAACCACATAAGAGGATTGAACGGATAGCTGTCTTGTAAACTCTGATTTTCACGGCTAACTTGATGTCGCGTTGGCGCCATATGTGGCGAAGATTGGCCAAAGCGCCTCGAGTTTTTATTGTACGATTTGTAACCTCAACTTTTATATCACGGCCCAGGTATTCTGAACGACTCCTAGCTGATCAGCATTAATGGTCAGCGCATGGTTGGTTCCCTGACAATCTTGGAGGACTTTGCATTTCGAGGGCGCATAGCACCCCCAAGAAACGATTGGTGGCCAGATCTAATTTATCTATGGCATATTGGCACGTTTGTGAGCTGCCACAGATTTGGGCAGTGCCTTCGGCATACTCCAACTCAAGAAGTCGATCACCAGGTAGCTGCTCCACATCTTGTAATTCATGTCCGGTGAACGCTGTATCCATGACATGGTCAATTGCGAAGTCAAAGAGGAAAGGTGACAGCAAGCAGCCTTGTTTCACAACGCTGCAACTATTGCATTGCGACGACAGTTTGCCATAAGCCCTCACTCTGCCCGAACTATGCGCCTACAGCGCTCCTATGGCATTCACATATTACTCGGGCACACCTTTCCTAAGTAAACAAGACCAAGATGCACATCGATGAACCGAATCGAAGGCCCATTTCATGTTTAGGAACACAACAACGGTTGCTTCGCTAATAATTACGTCGGTGTTCCAACTATTGACGTACTGTGAACATGTGGTCGATGCAGCCTCGATTGCAACGAAATCCGGCTTGCTTTTTTCAAATCTGGCTTTCACGGATGCCAATCACTTTAAGGTGGACGACAGAGGCAAGTAACTTAGAGGCAATGGGGACCAGACTGATCCCTCTATGATTGCCTCATTTTGTACGTGAGCCTCCTTTGAAAATTGGGACTGTAACGGAGCGGCTCCAGTATGTTGGGACAGTCCCCTGCCCCCATAGGTTCACTAGTATGTTATGCAAATCGTCCAAAAGAATAGGTCCCCGAATTTGAAGAGATCTGAATGAATTACATCTACTCCAGCGTCCTTATTCCGTTTCAATCGTCTGATCTCATGTTTGGTTTCTGCACAAAAGGCGGATCCAAGGGGACGGCCCAGGGAGAAGAGTGATCATTGGCCGATGGAGAAGCTGTCAACTCTGACTGATTAAAATGCTTCTCAAATTGTTCGGCCCAACGTTCCAAGCGCTTTGACAAGCTATGGATCACTCTCGTCGCGTATGGCCTCGTTAACACCAGGTCTCCTACTACCCGTTTCCCGTATCAAACGGACTAACTTCCGATGGTTACCATGGGCAGTGACCGTCTTTATTTCCGTTGCATGATGAGATCAACAGGCTTCGCGGTCTCTCTTTAGGCTCGCACACAGTTTTTCCTTGAGATTTTTGCGAATCTCATTGTATTCGCTTCTAGCGGGAAAACGTCGGCGAGCATCCATAAGTTCCAGAGACTGTATAGAGACCCAATGGCCATGTTGGCAATTTGATTTACCATATGAAGACATGGCTGCTGATGGTAACGTGTGGCGGATATGTGACTAGTGATCTTCAACGGTGTTCAGTGGGCGCTTAGTCAGCCCGGATACCAGCGTACTTTGATACGCATTCAGGACACCAGGCTTCGCCATTTGGCTGGTGTCTATGCGCGCACAGCGACGTTGCGGACGTTTACCGAAGCGCACCCGCGGGTCGGCGCAAGCAGGTGCGTGGTCAGAGACGACGCTTGTACTCCAAATCGAGCGGCAGTTTCGGACACTGCCTCTCCATTGGTAACTAATGGTGATGTGATCGATTTGCGTCGGTGGCTGATGGGCGCCATGTCACCCTACTGCATGTGCTGTGTCGGAAGTTTGTGATCGCGAGATACGAGCATCTTCAAACAAGTGTAACAACCGCTCGCCGTTATCATTACGGGAGCCTACACCATGTGAACCGCCCGGATGAGGCTGATCAATAGACAGTATTCCGAGTTGGGCGTTCAAATTACCAGCAAGTACCACAGTGTACGTACCATTTCTGTTACAAAGGAGTGCATTCAATTATGGATAGAAGCCATCTTTCACCGAGTCGGCGCTACAATTTGTGGGTACATAGGTCGGAATGACAGACAGACACCGTTTGTCGCCACGCGTCTTCGATGCTTTGAACGACACGGCCAGTCTGACAGCACACGTCCGACTGTTAACTGGGATCTAATCGATCAGAGTAGCTTCAGTCCGGGGACTCAGGTCAACGCCCACACTGGGTTGACCAGTATTTATAGCTGCGTCATCTCTGGACAGGCACCATGAGAAAGTGCCATTAGTGTCACATGTTGGGGATCACTATGTAATCACAGAACTCGCATCTCATGCGGGTTTCTGATAAGCAGCAGATGTCGATCAATACGGTCTCTATTCTTCAGACAAGTGCTGTCTGTTGGCTAGTTTGCAACAATGTGCAAACTTGAGGCATACCCGCCTTAGCGAGAGTCGAGGGCTCCAAATAGAAACAGATGAACAGACGTTGTCGGTTTGGATGGACTTGTCGTCTGGACTAGAGCGACGCCCTGCGATTGCGGGGGAGTCGAAGCTAGCGGATCTATGCCTATTGAAGCAGTATAAGGGCGAGCGAAGGATTGAGGGGTTAAAGACGGGGGACTAAAGTGATCTTGGAACAGGATCATAAGGATGAAAGAGAGGATGCAAGAAATGAAATAAGAAGACGCGAAGGCCTGAGCAATGGCATCTAAACCCCTATCCACCATGCTCGATGCAGTAGATAGGGCACCACTTTGAATTAACTATACGGTCAAATTACGTACTTGGTTGGTTGTTATGACTCACTGTTGAAATTGCTGCCAATGAACGAACGTGGAACCAGCGATGTTTATGAACGATCGGGCATTAGTACACAGCTACAGTATGCTAGCGTGATTGCGAACAAGAATCTCGCGTCTTTTTAGTCATGTATTTGTAGAACCTTGTCACAAACTTGAGGACTCTTCCAACGGTCCTTATTTTACCCTGTCTATTGTTATATGTGCAACGTTCAGACATTTTTATTTTACTTTGCGGTTCACTTGCTGCAACTCGCTTCTTCCTCCGAATGTCTGTATGATTGCCTGAAGGATTGAATGTACTTATGGTTGTCCTTTCAAGCTTTTGTGCTTTTACTCATGGTGTGCGTAGATTATGCACTCTGCCTGCTTCACCGGCCGCTTGTGACTTTAATTGCCATTGACCTACTAGGCACATGCTGAGGCTACCAGTCTCCTCGAATGCCTCGGTTCGTGTTTTTCGTGTTGCGGGCACGTCAAGTATCCCCGCAAAAATACGCCACAAACGCCAGCGCGTGGACTGTGCTACGTAGAGTTTAATTCCTCCCTACAACATAGCAGGATCCAGTCACTCCGAGTTGGGACGCAACTGGGCTAGGGTGGACAATGTTCTTTCATAAACCACCAGCCCTACGCGATGATTCATGCACCCACAAAATGAAGCATTGTTCCAACTGTGCTTCGACTTTTTTCAATCGTGGAAGAGCTCACAGAGGTCCGCCTTGTCTTCTCTTGTCTCCGCGTGGTCATGTGACCATGTGCGCAGCTCTGACCATGTGTTCCGCGTTCGTCTAAGTCTAGCGCGTTTAAGTTCGCCGGTCGTGTGTGTGTCGTCCGCTTTCTAGGGTTAAGCTTGCCACCCGAATACGCGCGTGAATAAGGTCCGTGCTCAGGTTGTGCATAACTCCCATATAAGCCAACGCGATCAGGCGTGTACAAATCCGTTACAAACTGTTCCATCTTTTTTCTCCTGGTTAGCAGCACATGTTCACCCATTCCGACACCTTGGTGTGGTGTTCGGGAACCCAAACTTCAGCGGCACTTACCAAGTACCTACTAAGAGTACGTCGTTAGGTCGACCTCAGGGAATGCTCATGGGCAGTATGCATTTCAAATTATTGTTGATCGTGACGCTTATTTTTTCTGTCCTAATAGTTGTAAACATATCATTGTAGCGCTAGTGCAGTAAAGGCATCAGGAGTACGCCGGTACCCACTACCGTGGCCTCTTTGCCGCACAACCACCACCGGTTGCACGCGGACAAAGAACACTGTGAGGGTCGCCCGGTTCTTACGCAGACTCGAACCCGCGACCTCAGATTACAAGATAGGCTTGTAATCCTTAAGGTTACGGGCCGGCTGTAGCCGAGTAATACTTGATCATGAGCGTACTTAGGCGTTGTTTGAAATCTTGCTTTATGCATTTTGATCTTGAACGGCATGAAAGAATTTTCACAGTGGTCTCACTGCGTCTTATTAACTTTCGTTGTCCATCCTTTGGTACTTCTGCCTTTTGAGACGAAAGATTTTCAGGCATGAGCATGCGCCTCTGAGGACACCTCATTTTTCGCTAACATTGACCCAACTCCAATACAGTTCAGCGCGACTCAGAGCCGCTTTATATATCACTTTTCTTGCCAACCGTAGGGCTTCGAAATAAGCATTTCAACTGGTCCATTATCTAGTTTTATCCAACTCAGCGTGTATTTTGGGTCGCTGCGCTTTCAAGTAAACCGCGGTCCTTCCGGTCACTATCAGACCAGTTCAAGGTCGTGGAGCGCAGTCTTGGGAGCGGACACCATCGGATATGTCTGCGCTTCGAAATAGTACACTCTGTCCTCCGCACACATTCATGCTTTTCTATTGCGCAGGCAAGTATTGGGCCTTGCTCATCCGCGAACTCTGCACTCCACGATTAGTTGCGAACTTGTTTGATTTCTTGAGGTTGAGATTGCAGTCATCGAAACCGGGACGTTCTGGATGTTAGCCCTTTATAGCCACCGAGTCACGACGGGCAACGCATGGCACAACGGTTGATGACTGATTGGAGGGTCACTTTGAAACACTCTGTGAATGAATTGCAACATGCAATTTCAATGTGGACCGCTTTTTGAATTGAAATGAACCTTAGACAATTCGATCGCTGGCACCGTAACTGGAGCAGATGAATATTCAGTGGTCGCATTGCCTAAGCTTCACTCCAATGCAAATCACGGTCCACATTGAGATTGCGCGTCGCAGTCCATTCACACAATGAGTGCTTCAAAATCACCCCTACCCCACTTCTTTCGATTTATCTGAGAGTGTCGCATAACTCTCCTTATTAACATTTGAGCGTTCTTCAAGCACATTTTGGCAATATGACCCTTACATTACGGCGGATGTTCACTTCTCCTGCTTATTCCACACTACAGTTTTTTGGCTTTACATAACCATGCTTCTTTTTCTAAATTTGCCCGAACCTCCAGTGCAACATGCTTGATGATCCGGCGGTTGTTAAACGTATATGGAGTGCTCGGGTACCAGTGTGTTTCACTTTGGCACAGGAAGAGCTGACTAATGAGGACCGAAGACCTCTTCCCATTTACGTGAGTTCAGCATCGCATCCGTTTCCACTCAGTGCGTTCTGCCTCTCCTCTGACCTAGTTTCCGTCAGGTGGATTCTATTTGTTTTGTGACGCTTTTTGTTCGGAATGAATCAAACTAGTATGAGTTGATGAATGTTAGGTATTGCCCATTCGTAACACTACGCCCCACAGCCGATTTTGTAGTTCCGTGTTCTCACCAAGTAGTGCGAACAAGGCCTTGGCTCATGTGTTCTTTGTTCTTCCCACAGCCAAAAGGCTGCAGGAAAATTGCCTTTCCTCTACATGATATCAGCTAGTTCCTTCAACATATGGACCACAGGGCTTATCAGGAGCAGCGCCCATCACACCGAGTAAGGAAGGCGTTGCCTTTACCCCCTAGTCACTACTAGTACGGCAAATATTTGGCACACTTCTGAATGCCTGGTGGCTAGTCGGCTAAATCTGTCGACGATTTGCTCTTGCTCTTGTGTTTGCACCTCTCCAATCTCTCTTTCATTTTCCGATGTCCTTGTTTCAGATGCTGCTTCCCCGTTTATCGTATTTTCCCCTTGTTATGGATCGCATTATTCGTCATTTCATGGAGTTCACTGAGTCCACACCATCTGCATCATTAACGCAAACTTATGATCCATCTGCAGACAAGCGCATTGATAGCGAAACCGACTCACTTCGAAATGTACATACTCCAGGTAAGCATCTTCATTCGGTAAATCATTTTGTACAAGACGTTAGCAGTTTGCTTCCAGAACACGGAGTTTGGTTGGACTACGCCAATCAACCGCTAAAATGGCAAGTTTTTCTCTTACGTACATGTCCGTTTGCGATAATCTCTAACGAATTCCCCCAGGGATTCTACATGCGCCTCAACGGAGACATCTTTTCTTGCTTCTTTTGTACAGTATTCATAAAGTTTATTATCTCTGACGCCATCGGGTTGGAATTTTTAGACCCCCTTCCTTACATTTCAGTATCTAAATGGTAAAAGCTTAGTAGCCACAGCCTGCACCGCACTTTAACCAACTGCACTACGTGCATTGTCAGGCGTGTCCTTTGTATCACTACGCTTTCCTACCGTTAGGACTTGTGTTGGTAAAATACGAACGGGTTGGCGGCTTGAAGTTTGCATTGGCCAACTGACCCGATTCCTCACTGACGTTCCATCCTATCGCCGTTACTCCCCTGATGTGTCATCATTTGTACTTCCACCCATTACTTCATCGTTTGTTTTCTCTTTTACATCCATGCTGTTTGTATCAAAGTTCGTTTTCCGTTTCCACGCTGTATGCGTTTCGTAGAGGTTCTTTCACATCCATCGTTGGCAGGAAAGAGGGGCGGTCCACTTCGTAATCCCTGACTACTAAATCTGGTTATCAACAAAGCACTGCATATTTCTGTTACGTTTGCTTCGGCAATACCCTATCTGTTCACCGTAATGTGGTGGACCGCATCATCAGATTTATCCTCACTAGCATAATCCACATTGAGGGCCAAAAAACAGAGCAACCCACTACACCTTCAACTGAGAACATCGAGGACGTTTTCCTGACCCGGGTGACTGACAGTTGGGGTCGAGGAAACAATTGGCTATCGTGAGTCCGAGCCAAATGGGTTCCAGAGATGTGCACATCGACTAGGTCCCGAAAATGTGACAGTCGTCGAGACGAAGCCGAACAATAAGTTACTGGATATATTCTCCTCTTCAGCTCAGACCTGAAAAATGAACTGATGTTTTCGTGCTTAAGCTTCCTTGGGGGCCTCTTTTTCTTATTCTGTCCTTTACCACTTTCCTCATTTCCAGCTAACATCTTCAGATGTCCCCTCACCATCCCATTCGCTGGTGTCTTAGATGGCGGTAGTAACTACGAACCATTTCGTGAACTATCAAAGCCTTGTGTAGGCAGCTTTGGTGGGATTGAGGTAGTCCGAGGCGTAGCAAGAGGGGGGCGGTCCTCCACGGGCGGCATGTGACAGGTGGCGACCTTTTTGGCACGTATGCGTGTACGACAACAAGTGTAATCGGCAAAGTTTCCAACTGAGCCGATAGTTGGATATTGCAATATTGCCCTGGATATCCAAAAACGCATCTGTCACATCTGCTTGTCGTCTATTCCTCCTCTCCACTGCACCCATACGTCTTCGTTACACATCGCCTCTTGCAGTTAGCCGTGCACATAATACTTTGTTGCCCACAAGACAAGATTGGCAGTATTTATGCGGCAGGAAATGTGTGTACGATTGATGCAGAGGATACGCGCGAATTCGAAGAATTGGAGAAGTGACCACTATTTAGCACGAAAATACGCACATCAACCGATATTACGGATGTCGGTCTGTAGCCTGTCAAGGTTGAACATGAATTTCGCACTATGCTTGTCCAGCTGGGATCTACTGCCGTGCAGCACAACGATCATGAATTCAAAGAAGTTGCGCTACCTTTTACGGATACAGAGCGTGAAGCTATGAAGCTAGCAACGAACTGTCCATAGAAGCCATGTTTTGTTTTTTCTGCAGACTATTTTCATCGGGACAGACTAATTTTTCGACTGGCGCGGCTTCGTAGACCTGATGGAAATTAAATCCAAAAGTTTCTGAACACGAGAATAGTAAAATCTAATGCTCAGGCATTTTCCAACTGGAAGGAGCTAGCGATCCGCTCAGTTGAGGAAAAGGCAATTAACAAAGTAGAGCACTCATTTATGGATAGGGAAACAAAGCTTAAGCATGAAATTCTAAATAGATTACTGGATATCCTCAGCTTTCTCGCTAAACAGAACATAGCACTGCGTGGGCACCGCGAAGACATCCAAGATGATAACGAGGCCAAGAAAATAGAGGAAATTTTTTAGAATGTACATTTGTTTGCCAATCCTGACCTTATTTGTTGAAAACATTTAGTGGTTGCTCAACTGGAAAAGAAAATCAACGTCTCTTATTTGTTTCCAGATTTTCAAAATAAACCTATGAGAATTTTGCCAAAGCAAGTATGAAGGAAACTCATAGGCCAGGTCAAGAAAAACAAGTACTTTGACTTATTTTTTAATAGCACTCCTATTTATATCCAAAAACTCAACTGAGTGAGGTGATGCTTTACCTAATAATGGACAAATATGAAGTGGAGGTAGAGTCGTTTCTCCGTTTCATTGAAATCAACAGCAGAAGCGCCGAGGAAATTTCAGTACTGATTTTAGGAGGAATGGCGAAGGATGTAATTCAGTTTGATAACTTCCGTGACCACGTACTTGACAATGCTACTGTTATCGCTGGCTACCAATCGAGTGTCCAGAGACACATCTTCAAAACCAATCCAAAAACTTCCTTTTTGCCGTGCGCAAACCGTTTCCTGAATCTGGCTTGTGTACATGCACCTCCTACGGCCGTTCACTCCGTTCCATTTTTGGTACAGTGTACCCGTTACTCTAGTTCTTTGCTACATTTACATATCTCTGGAACGTTTTGATTCAAGTGACCAGTCTAAGTATCTATCGGGCTGTGGAAACTAGATGGAGTAGTCGAACAGATGCTGTAAAACTTGTGGTGAAGAAATATTTGCAATTCGTCACTTCTCTGAGACAATTCACAGAAGAATAAAATGTAACCACAAGATCATCTACAGATTTACTTCTCATCTCGGTACTGTCCTTTCCGTTTATTTCGGTTCTGAGTCTTCCGAGATCTGTTCCCCCCAGAAATCAATGAAACGAAGAAATATTTTTAACAACAGATAAGTTGATCTGCAACATTGTTCTGCTATGCTTGCAGCGTTAGAAGTTTGCCTACTCCAGAATAAAATGAAGATGGTAGACAGTGCAATGGATGAACTCTAATATGCTCTGAATTGGGGTTAACATGGAGCCTCATAGGTTACTGAACAAACTGAAGGCCATGGGCATTGGAAAGCCGGTGTTTTATTGGATGTCGCCATATCGAATTGGTAGACCTCAGGGGGTGCGCATCGGTGACCATTCTCTAAACCGAAAACAATCATCAATGTTGTGATTCAATGATGAGTTTTGGTCCTACTCTTTTTCTAATATATGTTAACGATATATTCCAGAGAATAAGAAGTGGTGCTACCTTTGTTTTTACTGATGGCATTCAAGTTGTCTACTCACAAGAACGTGCAAATGCGCAGGAAACCGCACATCTCATTCAGGATGACCTACCTACACTTGACTCCTGGTGCCAAATGTGACAGATGTCATTCGCCGTGGACAAGTGTAATATTTTGTCGTCCAAATGCCAAGTACCGCCAGACAGTCTATTACTGCAAGGCACATCTCGCAATGCAGGGCATTTCGCGACTTGGGCGTGCGATATTCAGTTATCTTTAACTTTTTTGAACATTGTGACTTTCAAGTTTCGAAGACTGTGAAGACCATCGGATACATATGCCATCTTTTTTACCTACCACAGTCTCGCATATGGCTTTACAAAACATCATTGGTCCAATCTAATCTGCGGAAATCTGACCAATGTGCTTTTGGAAGGGTCCAGCGACACTTCACGAAAAACCTACGTGCATATTCCTCAAAGATGACATACCGAGAGCGATGTGATAAACTTGGAGAATGTAGCTGATCCTATGTTTTTTTACAGTCATAAATCGCCAAATTCACAGTTTTGGTAACGTCGTTCTCATATCTTTAAGCAGAAGATAGCCAATCCGTAACGAAGAGAAAAATGTCATGATTCCGTAATTTATTACGGGAATCAGAGACTGTTTCTTTCTGATCAACTACTCAGTGATTTGGTACAAACTTCTGAGAGATATCCGAACATGCTTTACACTGCACCATTTTAAGCTTGCGATTAGTAAGCACGTAATCGTCCAACAAGTGATTACTATGTTCAGGACATCACAAATCCTAGACAACGCTTTCAAGAGCGGTATAGATGGCGCCTGCTTAAACTTTGAAAAGACATACATATGGCTTTTTAAACCACAGCCTCTTTCATTTTTTTCTCGGCACGAACATCTGTCAGCTGATTATAAAGAACTGGTTCAACGACAGGTGGAATAAACAGCAGAACGATTTTGCTTACTTTGTGTTATCTAGATTTGCCATTTGCACGCATGTTTATTTTTGACAATTTATAAATGTAATCACATGCAAAGGATGTAACAATATTTGCTCTGTTCCTTCTAGAGAACAGCTTCTCGCATCATCGGGGAATATACAGTTTATTTTTTTGATAGCAAAATGGACTTTGGGCCACTGCGATTGAGGTCGCCACTGGTAGAAAGCTGGTTACGGTCTTAGCTTGCATCGACTCCTTGCCGCAGCTTTTACCAGCGGCTTTTGATAAGTCATTAAAAGCAAATGCGGATACATGAGTGGTTCAATAATATAATTTTTCTCCCCGTTTTTTAATGTTACCTGATTGACTGCTGGTGGCTTTTCCAACACAGGGACCTTGATACTAGGGAACTACCTTCTCAGACTTTATCCTTTTTCGGCAATATCTATTTTCTTATCTTTTTAATGCACTTCGCTGGTTCCGCATACATGCACCCCGAATTTCTTTACCTAATCCGACCCCGTGGACCTTCATTGAAGCATTTTCGTAGTTTTCGATCGATCGTGCGCTTGGTCTGACGCAATGTCTGCCCTGTTCTTTTCCTTTTTGAATGTCAATGGGCTCAGATTTATGCTTCCTCTATTGTTGTTTCTTCTGAGAGTAGTTTTCTCACATTAATAACAGTATACATTTTTCTTGGCGTTCTCCACTAGCTTTCTAACCTGGATGAATTCTGTTACCGTTTCACTGTCTGATTGTTTTCCTGCTTTTAGTTAAGCTGATGACGGGTGGAGTTACCCCATTTTAGAGGTTATCTCTCTCCACTACTTTCAGGCACTATCCCATCGGACTACTGTATGACTTGCATGTGGGTGGTTTTGAATTACCCTGGAAATTGACTGTCCATTTTCATGTAAGTTTTTGTCCTTGACCCATCACATTTGAGACTGACTTTTATTGTTTCTGGTGCTGTACCTTCACAGTTTATCTTTCCGTTTGGCTTTAGCCTCTCTGACGTGAATCCTCATCTTCTCTGGCTCTCTCGATTTTACTGACAAATATGAGGATTTTTGATGCCGCTTTACAAATTCTCTCCAGAATCTCACAAGACAGATCATTGATCAGACCACATAGTCATTGATTAGACCACATAGTTGGACTGCACCTCGAAACACCGAGGAATATAACATTTATCATTTATCAGATAGTCCGATCACTAATCTGAAAAACGTCAGACGACTGTTTCACTCTAATGGAGATCAGCAGTGGTGCTCATCCTTCGGCTCCATCGGGAACCGAATTCATGGCCGCTGGCATTTAGTGCTACCAGCCAGCAACCACTAAGCCATAGGGGTCCGTGACAGACAGTCAAAGTTTGCAATCTAACGGGGATATAGCGCGACCTATCCGTCGCGGCCATGCAAGTTGCTACCCTTGCAGAGAACAGTAACTGGCCTCCGGAAGTCATGACTTCTCACAGTAGCTGTGTGCACACATCATGTGATCAGGAAACCTGCCGCGTAACTAGTCTCGTAGGTTGCCAGAGTAGAAATCACAAGGTCAACAACAACACCAACAAAATAAAGCGCTCATCGGCTGACTCACCACCATGCTTATACAAACACATCCATCTCGTATGAATAACTTTCGTTTGCGTTATGTCTTCTAATGTCCACGGGCCAAATCGTACAGTATAGCTTGCTTAATGCGTTGTCAAGTCGATTTTTAAACCTCGACATAATGGGCATAGCAATAACTTAGGTTTACAGGTCTCTTTTGGGATGACACCCTGATAGAGGATATTCCGTTAAATTCCCAGCCGGCCATATTGCGCGGTTAGCCTTATCTTAGTGCTGTGGCTAAGGTTCGGAGAGTAGTGGCAAACTTTTGAAGTCACTCTTTGATCACTGATACTGTCCGCAGTACATTGCTCAGGCTTTCATTTCACTTTTTTGTGGAATACTGTACAGGTCTATTTTACATTCACGGTTGCTATTCTTTGGGAATTCTCGGGTGCAGCAAAACCGCATTTCTACTATGGCTGCATATTTGATATGCATTAAGCGCTAGAGGGAATATGGGAGTATCAAGCCGCCCGAATACCCTCTACAGGACATGGATTTCTTGGTCTCTGGTTTTCGACCCTCCTACTGTTTCCAGCAACCGAGCACTTTATAGTTGGTCCGCTGAGAAACTTACTGTCATATATGCGCTTCATCCACTGTTTACCTCTTCACGCGCCGTAACTATATGCCTATTGTAACACCTGCCTTCTGGTTACTGTATGTTTAGAGCTACCCAACGGATGTTCTTCTCCCTCCCCCGGTGCACCGCCGCGCGGTTGAAACGCACTACATGTCCATGGTCAAGGAGGCCGATGCACTGAAACACCGTAGTGCAGTGATGAACCAGATGCAAGCACACGATCATCGACAGCTGTGGACTGGGCTACTGAACTACCAGTTTGATCAGTTTTGGGCCGTAAATCATCGTCTCATGGAGATTTGTGAGTTACTAACCAAAACAAAGACTCTTTTACCTCCCTGGCGTTCAACTACTTGTCTATGCGTCTTGTTTCTCTGGATTATGTGACATTTTCCGGTACATTATTTGGCCATCGGCTCCTATATTGGTCGACATGTTCTCACAGTGAATTGCATCCATTTTGAAAACGCAAACTGCTAATCTATCACCCGTCACCCCGCGAACTGTTCCGTCTCTTTCCACATTTTTCCGTTGTACATTACTTTTTTTCAATCACCATTAGCTTAGCTGGTAACCACGTGCTTCAGGTGTCTGGCTTGGAGTCCGCAGGCTACCGGTTCGAGCCTGCGGCCGACCTCGCCCACACGCGACCGCTGGTAGTCATGTGGCTGAGAGGCGTCGGTTCGAGGTTATGCTGATGCCCGTTCTGTTCTCATAGCATCGCAGTTAGCGCATATTTTATCAACGCTGGTACCTGGACATCTTGAATTACTTTTATAGTTGTAGTCGTTTCTTTAAATATAATGAGGAAGCTTGCCACGCTTTTCTTTGCCTCTTTAATTGAATTTTTACTTACCCATTTATGCCAGTTTTGCTGCAGCCCCAACTGCCTCACACACTGCATCAGTTTAACCTACATCCGTATCTAGCGCACACGTTTTTCACCTGCGCGACCTATTGCGGATAAGACACTGCGACTATCCGCACACTCTCACTCTTTCCCATAGACTGATTACTCATGTATGGTCATGCCGAATGCTAATTTGCTATCGAATCTTATGCTATTGCTGATTGTTGAATGTTTTTTTGATGCCGTACTGTGAGAGATTCAGATTTATGAGCTCTCAGCCAAGTGCCTGCTCTCTGCATAGTGAACTGAATACAAGAATAAAGCAATACTGATAATGTTTCAGCTGTACGCCGTAACGGCGCTTCACTGCCGCGCGATCACCACCAGTCGCGTGTGGGCTGAGTATACCGCGAGGACGCCCGCCCCTACGCGGATTCGAACAGGTGACCTTGTAGTTGCAGTCCAGGCGTGCAGACCACTGAATACCAGAGAGGTTATGGAACGAAATTTCACAAGAAAAACATCTTATCAGTATTGCGTTTTTATGCCCCGCTGCCGTACAACTGGCAGACGCATGCAGGCTTGAGCATCAGAGGGGTGATCAAACACATTCAGAAGCGAGGACTCGAACTTGGCATGTAGAGGTTGCAAATGACACTTCTGAATCACCGCACCTCAGATCCCTAGATAATGCATACAACTTGAGCTATCCCGCTGTTGTATGCTTCACTATCAGTTCTAACCTACAGCCTTTGAGTCCACTTTAGGAAAGTGGACCTAGCAATAATCGAGCATCTTTTTCATCTCTGGTGAGTGCAATACACTACTTCGCTCCAAACTTTTCCAACCCACTTGTCTAGCAAGCCCTAATGCAGGCCTGTCAAGCTACGAACTGCGCGGCGGCCGCACACGCCACATCTGCTGTCATGAGTGCCTTACGTTGGCTGCTGACGTGCATGCAAAAGGCCACATGCGGCCCGCTGGCCACAAGTTTGACGCGCCTGTCGTGATCTGCTCTAAATTCACTTGTCTTCCTCATACTATATGCATGTCTAAACTTCTGTGATGTGTGGCGTGCCATTTTCTACGTGACACATGCTGTGGAGTACGACAAGTTAGTTATTCCAGTACCGCACTACCTTGGTTATCAGAGTACATTTTTTCAATTTTTTGCCTGGGCACAAACTGGGTGGATTTGAACTCAATCCCTCCTTAGTCGTAAGGTTTCTGCACTACTTCTCGCCAGTGACACTTTTAGTTCAATATTTTCTTATGGACTGACGCACTCAAATTCTTTCAGATCACTTCCTTCGTATGGTCTTGTTCACTGATATTGCAGGTGGCCATTCTCGAGGATGTTTGGTTTTTGACCTTTTTGGCCCCCATCCCTGCATATCTTCGGATGCCCTAGCAGCAGTACATCATGTGTACCTGCCCGCGGTTTCGCGACAATGGGCGTTGACATATCTTACTAGTGTATCGCTACCACCTTTCTTCTTTTCAGTGAGCTTCTAGATTATTCTGTCTAATGAACCGGCCTATGTCACATACAGTAACCTTGTCTTATCACCGAGACATGTTGTTTGCTTAAGTTGATGCACTAGCTCCTATTGAACAGTTGAGGCTTGTTTAATCTCTTAGTGACACTGTCACAGCTTAGGCTAAATCATCTTTCGTTCATTGAACTTGGCGATGTACACCGTGTCAAGTGCCAGCTTGCTTTCACTGAAATTTTTTAATTACTTTAAAAAAAAGCAATTTGCATATGTGCTAGTGGCGAGGTTTTGTAATTCACCGTAAACTAGACGTCGTTCACCCCCCCCCCCTCAGGGACGTTTTTCAAATCAAGCTGGACGCGGTTTGCTTTTCACTCGAAGCACTAACAAATTATTAACAAGAAAGCAAATGACAACGTTAAAAACGTTTTCTAAAGGCTATCCCACTGCTGCTATCGCCAAGTCTATCATCTTACTGTGGGCGGATTTTGTGCAGTTCTGCTGCGTAAAACCCGACGCTGTCTTGCATGGCTGCACCTAGTGTCTAGACTGGGATCGATGTGGAGATTAGACGAAATTCTTGTTGCTGGACTTGGGTGTTCAGTTGATGCGGTTTTTGCTGAGCTGGATTGTTCGCTTCTAAATGTTTCGTCACCAGTGCTTGGGAGTAAGCGCTTTTGTAGCAAAAATTGGTAGAAGGCAAATGCGGTACCATTTTGGTCAGCAGAAGCTTCTCCGATGCCTACACTCCTGAGAATGCGTTTGCGGCGACAGAATCTTTAGTTGATCGGCGATCATCCAGCATCCTCCTTAAATGATTCGTTATGCGGAATCTAATACTTTCCATCTTCAGCTATGTAACGTGCATGTGTCACAAACTCAGCGCCATTGCAGCTACGATTGCTAATATTTTTGGGTAACAGAGCGACACATTGTGGGCGAGATGACGTTTGCCTAAATGAGCCTGCGTCCGTCTCCAATGAATGTTGCTCACTTCGTCGTTGAAGACGCACTTCTCCTTGACTTGCATTGCGTGTGCCGAGAAGTTATAAGTTTAAGCATGCTATCTTGCGATCGTCGGGACACGTTGACGCAGCCGAGCTTTTGGTGGTACTTCTCGAGAATGCATTTTTGCTTTATGAAGGCGTTGAGAATCCTTATTACCGCCAACTTAAGCATCGTTCTCCATTTGCTGCTGTATATGCATCAAAGTTTTCTGCTGGTCTTCAATGCACTGCAGGTCGTTGAAAGTTAGCTTCTCCATTATTCTCTTTGCATTTACACTACACGACGGCGCCTTTTAGTATCTAGGCTTTGATGATATTCCTAGTCATATCGTCATTGATATTGGCGACTTGAGTAGCTTCGCTGAGGAGGGGGTCCCCGTCGATGAACGCGAGCTTGATCCGGATCTTTTTCTGCACCAAGGACGTCCGCTTGCATCGTCAGTGCATCGGATATGCCTCTTCTCACTGTTCCTTGCCCATTCTTGATTGCATCGTAAGTCGCAGTTGTGTCGTTTAAATGCATTTTGGAAAGGACTTCACAATGTTTATTCGAGTATTCCTGCACCTGGTACACCATAATGGCGTCACGACTCCTGCCCCAAAACGTCTCACAAGTTCCAGCATTTCCAATCTCAAATGAAAAATGTCCAGCCCGGCTTGATACTCATCCGCTTTGATTTGTTATCACGTCCTGGGTAGTTTGGAAATGGTCCGTTTTAGTCTGAAAAATATACAGTATGCACTGAAAATAAAATGTATGCTCTCATATGATCGAATACTCAGGATCAGATGTACCTCCGTGTATCTGTGTCTTATTTTATCCAAATGCTAACATATTTTCAGTCGTTCACGCGGACGTACTCTTTACGTGACATCAAGGTTGTACGGTATTTGTTGCCCACTTCAGTGTTGCTATATTGAACTTGCGTACGCAACCGCCATTGTGCTTCTCGTTTGCATTCATGCGTTGTTTTTGAGATTTCCTTGCTTGCTTCTTTGTAATTTTTACTCGTGATATTACTAAACTTGCATATCCAACTGAATGTGCGTTTTCCAAATACAGCCATTTATGTGTTTTAGATTCACCTGCTATCCCAGACGGCTCATCCCCAGTCCGTTCAAGCAAGCGGCAATCGGATCCAGACTTGCAAGATGCTGCACGCCTCAAATCCTCGGATACCAAAGGCCAGCAACTTTCTGGTTTTAGGTACATCCCCTGCCGTTTGTACGTTCTCGGGGAACACAAGGGCAATCTCAACACAGGATTTATTCAGAAGCGTGTCAGCCCGTTCACTTCCGATGGATTGCTCGCATCTGTCGGTGACGTTCTCCGGGCCCTGTTCCCCTCTGATGCTGGTGATGCCACAGACAGATGTCCAACAGAAGGTGAGCTGCTTTGGAGGGTCAAGTTTGGATTACACGTTGTGTGAGTGGATTGCGACACGCAACCTCAATTTAATAGACTGTGATTCACATTGAAATGAACTGCTTTATTTGCTCTCTTGATGTCTCGTCATCCAGTGCGTCACATCTTTTTTGCGCCTGCATTCTGTATGGTCGGTATGAAGCTTGTGAAATTTCACTTTTCACACTCGCGAGGCTCCTCATTTTTCCAAATCAGGAATCTTGCAATATTCGTCAGTAGTATATACCGCTCATTGGAACATCTCTCTGCCTGATTGTGCCCAACACCTATTCATTCACGCGGCTTCATCCTGCATGAAGTTGGTATTGATCCGAACTATCCTTATTGTGGGATCAGCATCTGCGTTTAGAAAAACATAATTTCTCTTGTGGCCTCACTTGTAAATCCTAAGTTACAATTGAAGAGCTAAATGTTGCTCATCGTTTGATAGATGGAAACTGGTTAGCACAGGTGTCGTTAAACTGCAGTCTATTCCTTACAGTCATCCAAAGCCACTTTGCCTGGCGCCTTGCCGAACACAGTCTGGAAGCTCCTTTTCTGGGGTCATTCAGTTGTAGTATGCCAACGGCCACCCTAACGTAAGCAGTTGATTCTGCATTTCCACATTACTGCCTCACTCAGTAGCATAGCTCGCTTTTATTCTAGCTACAGCAGTCACTGTTTCCGAGCTCTATCAACAGAGTAACGCTCCTTAACGACAATTACGAAGAACATCTCAGGTGTCTGTCTGTTTATTCCTCAATAGTATAACATGCACTGAGAGCGCCCCGGTTGGTAACACCGAGACGTCGCCACTCCCGGCATGATTTGGTAACTGGTTGTGATAGGGCACACTTCATCCTGCTCTGTGATGCGCTGCATCGGAGGTATTCCCGCAGTAAAAGGACAATCGAGAGATTTTAGTGGAATTCAATATAACTATGTATTATACCCCTACCTTTTATTGTTAACAGTCCTTATATTTAGCATTATACAACGTAGGTACCACCAATTTGCAAGCCACCTAGGCTTTGGCGTTTCCCACTCTGAGTCGAGCTTTTTTAGACTGTTTCTGCAACTTTTTTTGCTCTTCTACTTCATCGGATTCCTTTTCGGATTGTTGTTTAACGGGCTGATCACGATAGCGACAGCATAGTGTTGCCCGCACACTTCATGGGTTTCCGTGTGAAACAGTCCCAGCTTTAACAGCAGCCATCTGTGTTTTAATGCTTAAGTGGATTGGTAGTACCGTTGTTTCGATTGTGAAGCTGGTCGCGAAGTTTGTAGTAAGAAAGTTGCTCATTTGATTTAAACACGGGGTCCAGACTGAGTTTTCATTTCTCGTCGCGGATCGTGAGTACAAATGATTATTTCGATTCTCTAAAGCTCTACGCTCATCAGAAGTTTCGACAATATAATTTTCGGATACATTAATAACAGCAAGTTACCCAAACTAGAGCGAACCACGAACGATGACCACATTTCACGGTCACTATCAGTCAGGAGCTTGGAAAATTGTCTCTTTCTTTGCATTTTTTGGAATGTTACAGTGGAAACTTCTACCGCTAGTCCACTGGTTCAAGCTCACTTACATGATTCCCCTACCATTTTGTTTGTCTCAATGCTCCATCAGAAAGTGTTCACGTTGAGAGCCATTGAGTAACGGAAGCCCAGAGGTGGCGGTCGATCGACCGGTAATTGCCGTCGCTTAGGTCGGTATTTTTATCACGATACCTCAGCTAAATAGGTACCATTAGTACAAGCTTGTCACTGTGGTATGGCCCGTGATGTATCAGCGCAAAATTTGATTTTACGTATGTACGTATAATCAAATATCGCATATATATATATGTATATATATATGTATTCATCGGTCATGCGCTGATGCTTGATGGTTCACCCACCAGCTGGCCATGGAGGCGATCTGATATTGCAAATCCGACCCCATGTTCACTTGGTGCTGAGGTTGCGTTTCCCACCCAGTAGAACGTATAGCTGGCACCAGCTTCATGCAACTTACCTTGCTCAGCGAACCCGGTCTCGCTAAGCGCCACAATATCCATGTTGTAGCGCACCAGTTCCATCTGATTTGTGCAGTGCGTCTCTCGGGGCACTCGCTCGAGTTCCGCTTCAGTAGTGTGTGCACGTTCCAGCACGCGATGTTGAATGCTTTGCGCGCAGGCATACGATTGCATTGGTGGGCAATCGTACTCGAGGTGGTGATTGTTCTTCGGAGGTTTGCTTGAGGGACACCGGAAGCCTTTGGCTCAATAGCTTGACCTACAAGGCAGTGGGGAGCAGATTTAGCTCGGGAGTGTGATGGCAGAGACAGACTGAGATTTGTTTAAGGTCCGTCACGCACAGCCTTTGAAAATCTGGAACAATTCATTTGTGTTTTGCGACCACGTCAAGACTTAGGTGGGTTTTGGCGGGTTTGCCCCAATTTGACCAGGGGCTGCCTGGCTGGAAGCGGGCAATAGCAAACCATTGAGCAACCGGATGTGCCTTCCAACCGTCAGAGACAATGCGTAGCGCTTGTGCTCTACGCCAATCGAGCGGTGAGCTTATAACGCGTAGACCTGTTGTCTCTTATGGCGAGGTTTTACGGGAAGAGGGCCATCGACCACTTCCTAAAGTCCGAAGAGGATGGTGTTTGGACTAGGATACTGACAGGGCGCCCACACTTGACCTGAGAACGACTTTGGTCCTCAGCCAAAGCCTTCGATTAAATATACACCGGACAGGCAGCGTGTCCAGCACATGGTCTGTTCACTGACTCATGCGGATTGGTGTCCTGGCTCTTAGCTAGGAGAAGGGCGTAACCCAACTCCCACCCAGCGGTCGCCACAGAGGCGTCCATGACATATATATTCACAGTCAGTTAACAGACATTGTGCCATCAGAACCACGGCAGAAGAAAAAGGTGAAGAAGATGGGAACACTAGTGCCATTTAAAAAAATGTGGGAAACGATTTTTTTTGTGGTTTTACACACGCTATTTTGTTTTTTGTTTTGTTTTGTGAGTTTGTATGTGTATCAAAGGGATGGTGAAATTGCGGAACAACATTGCCGCCACTGATGTCTGTTGCTGGCCATGACGTCCAGTGTTTCCAACCACTGCAATTCAGCATCTCGTGGTCCCCATCCTGGAAGGCGGACTGGTCCGACTGCTGCCAAACTTGAGGTCGCCTTCTTCATGCTCCTTCTCCACGTCATCGGCTGTCCACCGCGGCACTTTTTCCAATCGCTCCCTGGGAGTGCGAATAGCGCTCGACATGGAAGGCGATGGGTTGGCATGCGCAGAACGGGCCCGAGCCAGCGCATGCGATGTCGGAGAATAACGTCTTGAAGACTGGCACTATTCGCCCCAAGCACGCGGTCTCTCACCTCTGCGTTGCTTACGTGGTGTTGCCACCACACCCGAGCAATCCTTCGTAGACAGCGATTATCGAAGACTGATAGCCGCTTCATATCCCGAGCGAATAGGCCAAGTCTCACAGCCGTACAAGAGTACTGCACGGACGGAAGCATTGTACACCCTGCCCTTGAGCTTGGGACTGACATTACGACGACGCCATAGATGTCTCAGTTTGATGAATGCAAGGCGGGCCTTTGCAATCCGTTGTGAGACTTCATCTCCAACACCGCCACCAGCCGTGATGCAACTCCCTAGGTAAGTAAAGCAAGGGACTTGTTCCAGAACATGTCCAGCAATGGTGAGCGCGGGTTCAGGCACCTGCCAATCCTGGAGCAGCGTTTTACATTTTCCCGGAGTGAAGCATAGGCCGTACTTAGATGACTCCATCGCCAAGCGGTCCAGAGCGTTCTGGACGGATTGTGGGTCGTCCCCCAGCAAGGCGATATCATCGGCGTAGTCCAAGTCCGTGAGTCTGTCTCCAGGGAGAAGCTCAACACCGCAGTCCTGGACACCTTCCAGTGCTCTTTGGAGAACATCTTCGATGGCGAAATTGAAGAGGAAAGGTGAAATAGGGCAACCTTGGCGAACAGCGCTGGTCACAGGGAATGAAGAGGAGTGCGTGCCGTAAGCCCTAACTTTGCCCGACGTGTGACTGTAAAGTACTTTCAGGATGGTTACAAACTTGTCGGGCACACCTTTCTTCAGTAAACAGTTCCACAACGCAGATCTATCTACTGAATCAAATGTCGCTCGGATGTCCAAAAACACTACGATTGTTGGCCGCCAGTGCATGTGACGAAGTTCGAGAACTTGCCGAAGCGTGAAAATTTGGTCGATGCAGCCGCGGCCTGGACGAAATCCGGCTTGTTCTTCTCGGGAAAATTCCTCTCTAGTCGTTGAAAGCCTGCTAAGTAGGACCGACACGAAGATTTTGGATGCGACAGAGATTAGGGAGATTCCGCGGTAGTTGCAGCAATCGGCGCGGGAACCCTTCTTGTGAATCGGGACAATGACCGCTTCTCCCCATGAGCTCGGAACCTTTTCCTCAGTCCAAACTTTCGTGAACAGCAATAGGATTTCGCTGATAAGTACACTCCCACCATCTTTGAATAGAGCTGGTGGTAGGTTGTCTGGACCCGAAGCTTTGTGGCGTTTCAAAGATTGGACTACATTTCGATTCTCTGCTTCATTTGGAGGGGCTGTGGAGACAGGCCAAGCATCATACATTGGGGGTGGAGGTGTCGCAGGGGACTGTGTTGGGTGGTTGAATTGAAGGGCGCAATGCTCTGACCAGCGACCCAATCGTCTGTGAAGGTTGGTGATCTTCGTGCCGTCTGCCTCGCAAATCGTCTGGCTGATAGCGTGTAAATTGCAACCAGTGGCCCTGATGATGTAAAACAGGCGGCGGAAGTTGCCAGCTGATGCAGCGGCTTCCATCTCACCAGCTTGTTTTGACCACCAAGATTCACGATCAGAGCGAAGGCTTGCTTTCAGCTGTTGCGTAATAGACCGGCGGTGTTCGTTGTACTCTGCGCCAGCAGGCACCGCCCGTCGACGATCCAG